CATGTCGTAAGCACAACCCTTTGTTTTGAAAAATAAAGATAAAATTATACGGTCATTAAGTTATACACATAACTAATCTTTTGGTTTTTATTGCTCACTGAAAAGCTCGTTAAATGACAGCTATTCTATCTGCAAATTTCATAAATTCTTGCAAACGGGCACAGAGCTGATTCAAAATTCTACATCAGAACAGACTTAGAGGTTGCCATGGTGGCATGTCATGTCACAGGTACCTCAAGCTCACGAGTGAAAATCGTTGTTGCGTAACAGAAACATCATAACGGTTTGTATGGGGATATTAGCGATCGTTATTTAGGGGTCAAAAATGCACTTAAAATACTTCAGAACTTCTTACCTTGTCACCTTGTTGTATTTATTATGTGTTTTCCTTAGCATTTTTTTTGTTCTCTCCATTTTCGAAAGGAAGTTCGCGTCGTATGCTATTGTGATCGTGAGAGTTTTCCTTTGATTCTTCGCGCGGTTCTTCGATTACTCAAGCACCTAATTAAAGCATTGTTGTGTTGATAAAGATAGTAATGTTTCGTACGTAAAACAGATAAATACAAGGAAATTAAATTTTGCAATTTGACATGGAAGACTGCTTTTTGTTTTGAATGAAATTAACTTTATTTATCTGGAGGGTTTTTTTTGAGTCTCCTAATTTTCTAGTTACTTCTTTCCTTCCTGGAGAGGAGAACTGTCCTAGCCTTTTCTTATCGTAGAACCGTGTTCTGTGATTGTTAATAGACCCTAACTGTTGTGGATTCACCTCAATCTCAATTTCAATGAAGATGTAAGCTCTTGTGACACGTATACTTCGATAAACAATGGCACACGATTCTCTTCAATTTGGGTTGGAGATAAAATTCTGAACTCAATTCTGGCGAGTTTTCACTAAATGTTTTTCCCGGCCCTACAGCTACGAGAGAATGACGTCACCTTGGATTGATCCGTTCTCGTTGTAATTGTTACGGTAAGTGGTATGAGTGATCCCCGCAATAAGCCAGAAATCATTGTCATTCTAAAATACGTTCCTCTCAAGCATACACAATAAACGTTTTTTTGTTTATAATCATTCCACAGTAGCTAATTTATTTTACCAACTCAGTTGATATAAAACCAGTTTTTTTCCTTTTCGCTTCCCCCACTGACACAACATTAAGAATTTTTCAGAAAACCAGTTCCTTTACAGTTATCATTTGTGGGAAAGCCTGTCTAAGAATCGGCAAAATCGAGTTAAACGTTTGAAATCGTGAAAAATTAAATTCGATCAGAAACATATAGAATTTTTTACTACAGGTAAAAAAGACAGAGACTTAGCTGATAAAACAAATCGGAAGACAGCTATAAAGACCTCGCGAGTTATTCTTTTTAGAGTCTGGTTATGACTCATTTCCAGTTGATTTTTCACTACACGTAACCAACAGTCTTCTCAACTAGAAGCAAAGGCAGAAAGAAATAGTTACAGTCGAAGCTCTCGTAAGCGACCTCTTCATTCGAAGAAAAAGTTGACATAACTACGGAAGTGGTCACTCACAAGAGCGTTTCATCATTCCACACAGGGTTTCACAAAGGTTGTTGTAACTAGAGTTGGTCGCTTACGAGAGTGGTCGCAAGAATCCAAGCTTCGACTGTACTTGACTTCCGCTTTTGATGGACCTCTTGCTAGAGCCTTTTCGGACGTTGCTTTTAAGGCCTGATTAGCTAGACATTCCCGGATCGCCCTTAATTAATTAGTGACTGGGGTTAAGTAAGCCGGCAGAATTGTATTTCTCTTCATACGCGTCTAAAAAAACAAATTAAGATTTGCTCCTTCGAATTTTTTTTATAATATCAAATCATAGTTATTAGAGGAGACTGGTTATGAAAAGCGGCAAACATCAATGATAAAAACAACAGTGCTGCAGTTTATGTTGGAAGCACCCTGAAAGTGCACAATCCTTTGTTTTCTGTTGGCAAATTGTTACCGAATAAATTAATGCAACGTTTTTATTGGTCAATACAATCAAAATGATAGGAATTCTTTTGAACGTTGTGCACTTTCTGGTTCACAAAAACATATAACAAAGGAGTCTGACGGGTTTCATAACCATTCCACTCAATTAACTATGATCAAATGAAGTTACTATGTCGGCTTTGTTCCAAAGTGGTTCAGTAGTCATATTTTTTATTTTTTGATGGTGGAGTGAAATAGAGAATTAATTTTTCTTTTTTAGCTGTCCAATTGACTGACCTAGACAAGGACGTTGAAACTAGCTGTTTCTTACAAACATTAAACTTGGGAAATGAAATTTTAGATTTCGTTCCTGAAAACGTGACCACTAGGTTTTCGCCTGGCGCCGGGCGCAGCCCAGCTCCAGGCCAGTCCGGTGTCCAAAAAATGTAGGGGGGTTGCCGTCTTGGTCGGTACAGCTGGATAGCCCAGGGACTGTCCTAACAGTGGGTGGGAGGATCAGGCCTGGGGGTCAAAACTAGTGGGGTGAGAGGGGGCTGTTTTTACACAACCCCTTCAGTAAGCAGCAGTGTTCAGTAGATACTTTGACTGGCAGGTACTTTGTTCTTAATTTTCCCTAGCCACTGAGCTGAATCAGGCCTCTGCTGAGAATGATTATCATGATAATTGCAGAGCTCAGTGGGGGGCGCAAATAGTCATCCATTGTCCTGGGTGGGCAGGGTCAAAGTCTTGGTAGCAAGCCACGGTTTAACACATCTTTGGACCTCAAGAACTCGTCCATAGTGGGTTATTTTAAGAAGATAAATGCTTTTCTAGTGTACTCTATATTATGCTTTCATAAAACTGTTCACAATAAATGGTGTTTAGATAAAACAGTTCATGAGAAAATTGAAAATGGGTTAGAACGCGGTTTTTCTGAACTTAGCGAAACTACCGGTTTAAATAACTGACCCACAGAGTTCTTTTTTCTAAAGTGAAAGCTGAAAAAAGAACAAAGATTTTACTTCTTACATAACCATGTCAGACTGGACCGAATATGACCTTTCAATCGTTTCAGATTCTTGCCCCTAATACATTTCCCGAAGCAAACAGTGTCTTCAATAGGAAGCAAAAATGCAGAACAGTCACTGTGCCGAGTATTGCCGACTCTTTTGACTTCCGCGGTTTCATAAATTAGCCTGGACCTCTTGCTTGGGAACTTTTTGGACGTTGCTCTTAAATAGAGGGTGAGCGGTGCTGTAACGATAACATAGAAATCGTGATTTACTTTCAGAGGCTCTCGATACAGATATAGCATTATTACTAACAAAAATTTTCCCATCCCACCCCACTGTCAGTTAGGTTCGGTATTTCGTGGTCAACTGAATCGGTAAGCCCCCGCCCTCCCGAAGTTTTCCTGAGGGGAGGGGGGTCTGTACACAGGCTACATTTCCCTCGGTATTAACTTTGTTCAATTGGTCCAAAACAAACAATACGCAAGGTGGGGTCCTCAGGTTGTCTTACGCTCTACGTTTCTATCCTCACTAGATTTTCTTGCTCACTATAAAGTGGCTGTGACCTCAGACACATTACAGAATTTACATAGCGTTATTTCGGGGTATAAATTTCAAGTTTCTATCAACCAATTCCGTTTTGGTTCGAAGGTCTCTTCTGTAGGCTCAGTGAAGTCCACTTCTGTGACCAAAGGCGAAGATGAAGCTTTCCGGTATAATAACAGTGGTTCTGGCTCTGTTTCTCTTTCCTACAGCTGTCGGTATGTCTGATTTTGTTAAGCAAAATTTATTTCTTTAGTTTGAACAACTTTTCCGGTGAAAATCGAAGAGTTTCTCTACAAACCTGTTGAAATTACTGCTTAATATCCTGAGAAAAATTTAGGAAATTGTTTCTTCGATTATCCTGTAGAGGCAAATAAAACTGTACATTTGCATTAATTTGAACAACAGCCCCGATGAAATTGAAGTGCTCCTTTTCAAATATGTTGCCATGATTGACCGATATCCCAAGAAATATTCATGAAAACGTTTTGTCAATTCACTTTGCAGAGGCTGATACAGAAGAGGACGTTGAACTACTGATTTTCCACCCCATCACGAGTACTAAACTGTCCAATTCTGATGTCCTTAAAAACCTAAAGAACGCGAACCTCACGCGACAAGGTTTTAAAAAGGGAGTTTCTTATCAGACCGTAAAGAGTGACGGACGTTCAACCTATGTCAAGGCAAGCACTGCGATTTTCGCTTAATTAACCCCGCCAACTCAGTGGATTAAATCATCCATTCAAAACAACGCCTCAAAAGCAAAATTAGGGTTAATTTCCTCATTTTTTGAGACCTTCCTTACGTTGTGTCGTTTTACTTTCATTTCTACAGTTTACATTTATTTACAAAATGCAGATTGACTTGTTGTAAATTAAAGCTGAAGATGATTTTTTATCTTTTTCTTAGGCATCGTACTTCTATTACAAATTAATGAACTGCTCAAGGATTCCGGAGATTGAAACAGACTTGGAAAAATTGATACCCGGTACTGATTGATTATATAAACAAAGACAACTTCTGGCTCTGTCATTAATTCAATTTTTGGTTTTCACATGACGTCAATAAAATTCGAACTTCAAAACTATCGATCCTTCTGAAATTTTACTTTCATGACGTATTAGAGCAGCTGAAAACTAATTTTCATACAAATTTTCGTTTTGAAAGGGGTGTCAATAAAACGCAGGGGGAAGGATCGGGGTCGGGGTCTGTATATTTTTTTAAAGAATGCTGTTTTATTTAGGGTTGGGGTTAAGGTTAGGTCAGGTATTAGGGTTAGTGTCAACCCTAACCCTAAAACAGCATACTTTAAAGAAAAATTGGACCCCGACCGCGCGTTTTACTCAAACCCTTTCAAAAGGGTTCTTGGCTTTGTGATAAAGTACGCTTGAATTTCTACGCTTTTGCGTGACGCTGCATCATGATATGACGGCCAAGATCGAGAGAGCTGTCTGCTGTCATTGTAGGTTTAAAAAGTGACTTATTTCGAGGAATTTTGCTATCTAAACAGTTCATATATTAGAAAGAGTATTACTTTAATGTTTATGAGTTACTCGAGGAATAAATTTACGCTTTTGCAGCAAAACTCGGAAAGAGATGTTTCTGTTGGTTTCCGGCCGCCATGTTCGTGCGCATCTGGTTGGGCACCAGCACGGCGTCTTCATACAAATCTCTATAAATTTGGGTAACACATTTCTTCAGATATCTCGTAGTACTTATTAGGAATTTTTGGCTGGGGATGTGCCACTGGGACCCTGGAAACCTTTACCTATACCAGAGCTAGTTGAGCGGAATTTTGCTACCTTACTAGACAAGACTCCCCAAGTTCCCCGCCTCCTATCCTAGAGTAGCTTTTAGGCTGAGTTGCGTAAATTTAAACTTGCCGATTTGATTTTTTGGATTTAAATTTGCGTGGCAATTCCCGGTTTCCCTAGTCTAGACTAAAATTTTCAACCAGTTGATCAGTTTCCGGGAAAATGATACCCTTTTCTAGACCCAAACTGTCTACTCTATCCCAGAGAAAACTGTTCGGAGACCATACTCTTCACAGCGGCACATACCTATATACCCCGAATATATGGCAGTACCCCCTGGGGGGAGAAAAGTCTTCAAGTCAGAGTTTTTTTGCCTCGATTTCGGAAAGGAAGTAAGGGGAAATAATTAAAAAAGGAAATGCATTTCATTTTTCTGCCCATGATATTCGGATATGGTCTCTTCTTTTCCTCCATCCCTTTTAGTTCACGATCCGGCCTAGTAATGCCGCAGTTAAGTTACTGTGCATCCGGTAGACTTTCAAACAAGTCCTTCGTCCGATATAATATGGCACGGGACTTGTAGTAAGTCTATATATATGGAGAGGGGAGCATATATCTTGCACAACTAAGAGAGTTAACAATAATACTGTTATATGTACTAATATTTCTCTCCGGCGGTTAATTCTTAGGTGTTTTTGGAAATGATGTGACAAATCGGCCAAAAACGGAACTGCAATACTGGCGTCGTTTGTACAATATGCATATGGATCAGTGTAAAGTAGGACTGGAGGTTGTTTTCAAAGAGGTTGACGACACTTACCAGCAAATGAAGCGTTTTCTCTTTGGCAAGAAATCAAAAAGTAAATCCGGTGGGAAATCAGTGACAGTGGGCCTAAAAGTCAAAGGGAAGGCCATTGTGAAAGGTGCTGTGAAAGGCGCAGTCAAAGGTGCAGTCAAAGGCGCAGTCAAAGGCACAATAACAGGTGCATTCGCAGGCGGACCGGCTGGCGCAGTGGCAGGTGCAACAACAGGGGCAGTGACAGGGGCAGTGAAGGGCGCAGTGAAAGGCGCAGTGAAAGGCGCGGTTAAAGGCGCAGTGAAGGGCGCAGTGAAAGGCGCGGTGAAGGGCGCAGTGAAAGGCGCGGTGAAAGGCGGTGTGAAAAGCGCTGTGAAAGGCAGCCGCCGTCGCAGCACTAGCAGCCGCCGTCGGAGCACTAGCAGCCACCGCATTGGGGCTAGCCATGAGTTCTGGGGGATTAAATAGCTGTCGGGTATATTTCAAGAAGTTGGCCGATTGTAGCTCTGCTCGAACAACTACACTTAAATCTGCTTGTAAGTTCCAAAGAAAAGCTGAAATAAACTCATGGTCTCCGCTAAATGTTTCACGTTTTTTCTACGGGGAACGATATTATTTACTGGTGCTTTGTTTCCGTTTTCAAACCAGGAGATCGTCACATTCAAAGATAAAAGAAAATCTTTTAATTATTCAGATTCATGCATTTAACGTATAAAAATCTCGGGGGGTGGGGGGGAGGACAGACCAATATGGCCTTTACGGGGATGTGCTGCTGGACAGGGTATGATTTTTGATTTCTCTCTACTAAACAGGGTATACAATTTAGTGTGAGACTGTCAACGGGATATTGCCTGTACGATTGATTTGATTTGCTAGATGAATTTTGTTTGTACTCCAAGTATACGAAAGCAGTGACTATAACGTGAAAAGACGATGGCGTGCATTTTGTCCTTTGTCCTAAACAGGGTAATAAAATTGAGACAGAGAAGAGAAAAGGGACTTAAGGTTTTCCGATATTTCGGACGGACAAGCTGTCCTTCTTCAGGGGATTTAAGGACTGCTTGTCCGTCCGAAATATTGGGAAACATCAAGTCGCTTTTCTCTTTGCTGTTTTGTTATTTATGTCTACATTTTTGTTTTGGATAAAACAGCAGGATTTGGCTGTCGTAATTTTATGTAAAAATAATAAAAATGAGGGTGTTGTCCTAAACAAGGTATGAATTTTAGAAATTTTTTATCCCATTAAAACAGGCAAGGGTCAGGGTTTCAAACCCACGATGGCTCACCTGTACCAAAAAATTTGTCGAAATTTGGTAAAAATGTGTCAATAACTATGCAACAAACAAGTAAATAAATAGCATGTTTACCTTATTTCCATCTAGAAACTAGAGTGCATGATTCATTCCCTGAAAAGTATAAAATCTCAAACAAAAAACCATCTTGAGTAACCGAGTTAGTCAGTTATGCGCATGACGGTTGAGTCCTGTGAAAGGTCCTAGGTCACTGATCGCGGGTCCAAAAAAAATGGTTGGATGATCAATAAATTGCAATTTTGTGCTGCAAAACTAGCCAAAAGTGCAAATTATGCTAGAAGTGCTTTTATTTAGAGAAATACATGAAAATTATGCTTTTAATGATGAATTATGCCAAAAATTGTGCTCGCCCAATCTAATAAAAGCCTAGCGCCTACCCTGCGCCGCAACTGTAATTTTGATTTTTGATGTTTTTATTTTTTCCTTATGTCTTTTTTATTAATGTTAACATATATCTTTTGAGTTTTTTGTTACATCTTTTTAGTTCTTTTATTAAATTTCATCGTTATTAGTTTAACTCGAATTCTAACTCAGTCTTTCATGAAGTCCCACTCGAAGTCTAACTCGAACTCGAATCCACACTCGATCAGTTTGGGGATTCCAGCCAACATTTAACTACAGTGTCATTAGTCACGTGATGTGTCACGTGCCTTTTTCCTAATAAGACTTTTTCTTAATAAGACAACGAATATGGGGGGGGGGGGTTGATGTTTGAAGGAAGAAAATGAAAAAAAAAAACTTTTTTTTAATTCAAATTTAAATTTTCCCACACTTTACGTTTAAATTTTTTTTCCGGAAAACAAAAATAATGAGGACCTTTATTCCAAAACTGAATTGGAAGTTGGGAAAATTTTTTCCTTTGGTCCAACCCCCCAAAATGAAAAGTGAAAGCACCAAATATCAACCCGGATCGGAATTCATGCTTGATTATTTTGGGGATTCCTGCCAATCTTTAATTTAAAGGTCATTAGTCCGGTGAAGTGTGACGTTCCTTTTTCCAAAGAGGAGTTTTTCTTAAAAAGAAAACGGAAATGGGGGGGGGGGGTTGATGTTTGAAGGAAGAAAATGAACAAATAATACATTTTTTTAATTCAAATTTAATATTTCCCACACTTTACGTTTGAAATTATTGTCCGGTAAACAAACATTATGAGGACCTTTAATGCGAAACTGAGATGGCAGTCTGGCAAATTTTTTCCCTTGGTCCAACCACCGAAAATGAAAAGGTGAAGCGACAACACAGTACAGTCTCTCACTCTTGAGGCACTCCATATATATGCATTGAATTACATTGAAAGAAGCTCTAGCAGTCTTAAGCAAGGAAATTTGCGATCAGTCCAAAGTTACCACACTGCAAGAAAACTTAGACGCTAATTAAAAGTAGGAATCACCAACTTCCAGGTATAACGATATAAGAACTCTCCTCCTGAAATCGAAATGTCTTCAGTTTGCTAAAAATATTTAGATCACAGAGCAGACGGTGTCCCCGGTCGAAGCTGAGCACCTAAGGCATTATTATGTCTCATATGTAAAACGAAATCGAGTACTCTGACAGAAGAAATTTGCAGTTTGACATGGAAGACTGCTCTTTGATTTTGAATAATTCAAGCTCACTTTATCTTGGGAGTTAGTTTTAATAGAAATTTCATCATTATCTGCGTTGATTCGTCCATTCCAACCAAGGACGTGGTCCTTAGTTCGAAACATAAGACTCTGCCAAAAGCAATGGACAAAGAATGGACCCTAATGTTACAAAACCATCAAAAGATCAAAATTCCTGCGATGAAACAAACAACAGTGTCATGTAACAAGAGCGACACGCATGGTAAAGTAATGTTCAAACGCATCTCCTAGTGTCCAGGGGAAGCTTGAAATTATGCGATCTTGGATGTGAGCTATTTACGTTATGATCAGTGAAATGTTACAGGTACGTTTTACTTCGACGCAAAGTCAGTTTTTGAGCGTAATCAGTAAAACATTGTAAATATAAAAAAATCCCACAGTGTTGTTCTCTCGAGGAAGATAATTTTTTGCAATAGGAACCTCTCTAGCTATACCGTTACATGATGCTTTTTGCAAATTGAAATTTACCATTTTCTTAATGAACTTTTATTTGACGACTCTCTAGAGTGAACTGATACCACAGTCGAGACTGAAAGAGTTAACGCGAAGTTTTTCACGCTAAATAATTGTATAAATTAACTAGCCAGCAAAATATTAAATTTATTTTCATTGAGACTGTAAGAATAACATAATTATGGTTTATTATCTAATATGAGATTAAGGACTTCATATCATCGGACTTTAAGAAAACATTATTTGTCATTTATTAATTCCCAATATTTATGCTGCTCATTTCAGTCAAGAATGGTGGTTTATTTTAAGTACTCAGCAGGATAACAGCGATAAACGCTTGATTAAAATTGACTGACTGCAATCCGCGGTCTCAGCGTTGAAAAAAGAGGGGATTGGTTATATCTCTAAGATATTTATTACATAGACGGGGAAAGAAATGTTGTTTGGGAGTCTTACAGACATCATAAGATTCCCAACCAAATGAAGAAATTTTGTATTCATTTGAAATTGGCCTGTATTCATGATGCGTCTCGTTGAAAAAAGCTCTATGCATGTGCCATATAGTAATATTGCTTAATTCAGAAATTAAATTTCAAACCAAAGCTTTAAGGTAGATAGCAACGATTGCTAGTTTGATGTTAGAAAAATAAAATGCCTCATAACGTTATTCAAGGCTATAGATAAAAATTTACACAGGCACTTCTTCAGATTAGTTTCGCGGCGTCAATCAGTTGCATTCATAAGGGTACCAAAATCCAATCAGTTTACCTTAGGAAAAATTTCCCGCATACAACACTAAATTAAGATGATGACGATGAATAAAAACTTGGTCACTGATGAAGAAAAGGAATTCAGTGACCAAGTCTTCTTCCACTACTGTAAGTTAAATATTGTTATTTTTATTCAGAACTCTCGGTGGAAAAACTCTGGCGGACACTCACTGATGTCTAAATTTCCAAGAGGTTTTCTTTATATAGTTAGAGATAATATAAGTTCTCCGTCCTCTAAGCAACGGACATATTACAAGTGCTTCATAATGCAGAGATACTGAGACATATACTTACCTAGTGTATGGTCACTCACTAAGTGTTTTGAAGAAACATGGTCATATATTTATCCTACGAAACGGGGGGCTAACAGCCAAGTTCTCTTCTTTATAACTATTCTAGACAATATTTTAGAACATATTCAGACATACAAAATGGCCGGTCTTAACCATTAGCAAGAAAGGATGATAATTTATAATTTAATCAATGTTTGATTAATTAACCCTTTATAGGTTCTTAAAGAGTGACAAACGTCAGGCTTCTCCTAACAGCTTCAATTTTCATACACCATCAAGCTGAAAAGTTAATGAGGAATTATGACCATAGGGAAAACGCTTCAATCTATCTTTTTTCAAATTCTCTCAATTACGGTAAATCTTTTAGGAAATATATAGATCAAACTGGGGAATTGTGTGTGTGCCGGGAGTGTATATCAAGTCATAATCGTGGCCCGCAGAGTTGCCACAGATCAGTGTCATTAATTTGTGGATTTATACTTTGAGCATTAGTATATTTACTCAGTTCAGAATTTTGTTTTATTTGTTTATTTGAATTGAGTGGATTGCACGGAGATTTATTTTACATTATCTAAATTGTAAACAATTTTTTTGAGTTTTCGGCCGACGTCAATCAAAGTTGCATTTGATAACAAACCCACAGTTTCGGACAGTTTTTCGTGTTCCGTGACATAATTTTAGTCAAAATAAATGTCAAACAGGGTTAAAATCTGTAGCTCCAGGCATTCTGTATAACCATAAATAAGCATAAATTAAGCTTTCTTTTTGCCAATTTGTTTGGGTACAAGACAATAACACGTCGAGTTCCTCACTGTTTCAAGCGTACTTCAAATCGGGGTTAAGATGATGATTGCAGAGTTTACCGCCGTCGTTTTTGGTCTGTTTTTGTTTTCTACAGCTGTCGGTATGTGTGATTTTGTTCAAGAATTTCTTTCTCTTTTTTTCGGTAAACAAAACGCACATTGAAGAGCCCGTCAATCGGCCGGAACAGAACGTTTTGATAGACACAGTGGCAAAGGCTTGTTGGTGCCGCACACGATCCTGTCTCCCGTTTCGTTTATACAATAATGTGCTTATATCAAAATGTGTGTGTGTGTGTGTGTGTGGAGGAGAGTGGGTCGATAATGAACTTGTATAACCAGCCGAGTCAGTCTCCCAATGGCGAATCTACCTAGTTAACACAAATACTGTAAGAAGTAAAGAAAAGAAGACTTTTTTTTCTTATTTCACAGAGGCCAAGATTGGGGAATCCGTGCAAATCCAGCTTTACGACCGCAACTTAAAGGTTTCGGATACAGAGATGCGGAAAATGTTGAATAAGGCAGATCTTCGGCGTCAAGGCTACACAAAGGAAATCGATTTTAAGATAGTGAAGGAACCAGATAAACCAGGATATAGACAGGCATGTGTCAGTTAATGAATTAATCGCTTGGTTTAAACGCTCTATACCTTTCAACCAAAATCTCTTACCCTCACTCCACTTACGGACGACAAGTTTTCAGGATCAGAATTTTGTTTAACTGTAAGAATGACACTTATGTGTACAGTCTGCACACCACCTAATTGCATGGCAAAATGAATTTGATTGACGGTGAGACGACGTTTGAGGCGTTTGTTTCCATCGTATTCCAGCTTTAAGAAACATTTTAACACGGGGTTAAGGTTTTAATTTATTTGTCGCTTTGAGCGGAATTGTTTTTTCAACTCGAGGATTTCTTTTAACTTGGAAATTGGTTCTTATTTAGTTCGAAAATCAAGAACCAGCTAAGAACCGTCTATGCCTGTATTTGTCTTCAGTATTCCCTCTGTCTGCCAATGCTGCCTGACCGATACATTTATGATTTCAAAGCGGTATGGTCTATCTGTGACCTGTAAACTTAAGGCACTAAAATGCTTAATATTCGTATTGTCATATTTGTTGATTTAGAAACTTTTGTTTTTCTTTCCTAGAAATCAATCTTTTACAGCAAGATAGTGAGCTGCTCAGCTGTTCTGAAAACCGAACGAGAACTGAACAATACCGTTTTTCATGGTGATTGCAATATGCATGTTCACGTATTGCACTTTTAAGTCGTTTCTAGTTTCATAAGTTATTTATTTGCTTTGGTGCCGATAGTACTACTCCTGACCACTCCTGGTCATGGCCTTGAAGGACTAGAAAACCCATTTATAAGATTCCAAAACCCTATGTTTTTTGACTGTGAACTGTGACTCTGAACGTTTTTCATGGTGATTGCAATATGCATGTTCACGTATTGTACTTTTAAGTCGTTTCTAGTTTCATAAGTTATTTATTTGCTTTGGTGCCGATAGTACTTCTCCTGACCACTCCTGGTCATGGCCTTGAAGGACTAGAAAACCCATTTATAAGATTCCAAAACCATACGTTTTTGGACTGTGAACTTACTTTGAAATATGACTCTGCCAAACGCCACTATTTAGTTCGTTGCACTCTAGCTTTGCCCAATAGCAAAAGAAGAATTCTTGTTTTACAGTTCAAGGATATGTAACATTTCCTCAATTCGCAAAGCGGATTTCTTTATGAGTATTTTTTTTTTCGTGCCCAACAATGTCTTCCCCAATCTCTTTTTACAGGTGCTTTAGGACCTGAGCTGTACAACAAATTAAGAGATGAAATGAAAGCAAAGGGCCTGATCAACGCAGGGAATTGCCAAACAGGGATTAAGATAGTTTTCAACTATGGCAAAAAGAAACTCAACCGTAGCGGTCGACACAGACCGCGTCGCATTGTTGAGGGAGGATGCATTATGATCCCAACAGTGCTAAAACCACTGCAGGAGTAACGGGCTATGCTGTGAAGAAAATTAATTTTGCATGCGTAAAAACCTCTTGAAAAGTTAAGGGTTTATTTTATAGCCGAGGTAGACTGTAAGCTCAATATATAACATGCTGGTAATGATGTAATAAATGCCAATCAATAAATATATAATCCTTCATATGGATTTCTTTGTTTGATCACGATCTGATTTTTGGCCCAAAAGGAGTAAACCTCGTCGCTAGACATGTCCCGATTGCGCTGGAACTGATTCGCCAAAAAGTGCTCAAGGCATGGCGCGAAAAAGTGTTCTTGAAAAAATAGTGCTCGAATTTTTGAAAAAGTGCTTGAAATTTCGAAATAGTCCTCGAAAGTTGCTCGTAGTTTTTAATTATTTCCTAGCAGATGTTCATAAATTTTCTTTAGTTTTATCAAAGCGAAACAACCCTCGATTTTCTAATAACTGACCAAACTAGACGTGATACACTAAGAATGTGTTTTTTTTTTTCAAAATCGACTGTTCACAGGGTTAAAAGGATGGTGTATTTTCATGTCAACAGTGAGGCGACAAGGTAGAATTATCTAAATTCATGATTATAATAGAATTACTCGGCTTACTGAAAACGTTTCGAAGACAAAATATTGCAAAATATTGTTCAACATGAGTGAACCACTCGCTTGGGCAGCACTATTCTTTGTCATAACTAACTGAAGATGCAAATTCTGAGCTTGGTTACAAAACGAATGATGATTTTTCGGAACTCAAGGAAGATGAAGAATGAGAAAATGTAGTTTTCAAGCTGATGGTGGAAAGGTGGAAACAATTTTCCATAACAACAGTTTCCGAGGATCGTTTTCCAAAAATAAAACTAGGACTTTTATTTATCAAGGCGGAAAATAAAAGTGCACTAATGTTTTATGGGCCGAAGTCTTGCGGGTTTTTTGAGCAAATCACAAGATTTGAAGCAGACAATTGTAGAAAACTTGGTGATAAGATCTGCTAAAACTCCTACCAACAATCATTGTCTTTGACATTTTAAGACATTTTAAAATAACATTTACGTTTATGAGTTACGTCAGTTTGTCGTGATCTGTCGCGTGCCTTTTTCTGAAATTCTTAACTTGATAAAGAATATGTGACGCTTGTAAGGAAATTAATAAATGATAGCATTTTTATGATTTAATATTTGAGACACATACTGTCCAGAGCAATTCGCTAAGCAATGCTAAAAAAGCCCAGAACTTTTAGTCTTGCTTTCAAAATTTTGGAGAACTTGGACAAAATTCATTTTAAACATAAAACACTGAATAAAATATGAATTTTCGCGGTCTGGAATTCTAAATTGCCGTATAAACTCGTGTATAAGCCGCACTCATGTCGTAAGCAGAACCCAGGCCTATCTTTCTCTTGATTTTGAAAAATAAAGATAAAATTATACGATCATTAAGTTATACACATAACTAATCTTTTGGTTTTTATTGTTCACTGAAAAGCTCGTTTAATGACAGCTATTCTATTTGCAAATTTGATAAATTCTTGGAAACGGGCACAAAGCTGATTCAAAATTCTACATCAGAACAGACTTAGAGGTTGCCATGGTAGCATGCCATGTCACAGGTACCTCAAGCTCACGAGTGAAAATCGTTGTTGCGTAACAGAAATATCATAACAGTTTGTATGGGGATATTAGCGATCGTTATTAAATACTTCAGAACTTCTTACCTTGTCTCCTTGTTGTATTTATGGTGTGTTTTCCTTGGCATTTTTTCTGTTCTCTCAAATTTCAAAAGGAAGTTCGCGCCGTGTGCTATTGTGAGTGTTTTCATTTGATTTTTCGCGAGGTTCTTCGATCGTTCAAGCACCTAATTAAAGCATTGTAATTATGTCTCGGGGCGGCTATGGGTCGAGAAGCAAAGTTATGTCTCGTCATATGTAAGACAGATGGGTAGAAGGGAATTAAATTTTGCGATTTGACGGTACAGCTAGCTCTTTGACTTCCGCTTTTGAGGGACCTCTTGCTGGAGCCTTTACGGACGTTCCTTTCAATTGAACAGATTATCGAAAAAATAAATTGAGGCCTGATTCGCTAGACATTCTCGGTCGCTCTTAATTAGTGAGTTAAGTAAGCTGACAGAATTATTAAATACTTCCCTCTATACGACTAAGAGTTGCTCCTTCGAATTTTTTCATAGTATCAAAAGGAGTTACTATGTCGCCTTTGTTCCAAACTGTGGTTTAGTAGTCAAATTTTTTTTTTATTTTTACATGGTAGAGTGAAACGGAGAATTAATTTTTTCTTTTTTAGCTTTCCAATTGCCCTAGACAAGGTCTTTGAAACTGGCTGTTCCTGACAAATATTAAACTTGGCGAATGATATTGAGATAAACCAGAGGCTGTAGGTCTTGTAGACGATCAGTCAGAATCAGGGTCCGTGACTACTAGACCGTTATGTTTGTGGATATTACTTTTTGTTTGCGGTTTTTAACAAACCGAAATTGGGTTTTTGTTCTTTAAATTTTCTTTACGCTGTCTTGGGAATCAGGGGGAAAGGTTTAACATCTAAAGGAAAAAGTAAACAGAAAATTTTCCCGTTGTCTAACCGTTTTAATTATCATTGAGTGTGAATATTACATACATTAGATATAATTTACTTTCAGTAGAACTCAATGAGTCTATCTTTTTGTGGAGGGTTCCATGTCGAGGGCGAGGGTGCCATGTCGAGGGTCGAGGGTAACATTTTTTTTTCCAAAATTATTTTTTTGGAAAAGGTAATAATCGATGCAATCAATGTCATTAAAACAAATAAGAAGAATTTAAAAGGCAAATGGCGCGTGAACGTCCTTCTAGTTGTTGGGCGTGGGGGTAGAATAGAGAAAAGCTCCGGGACATCCATAAAGAAAATGTGATGTTGTTGTTGTTGTTTAATTAAAATAGTACGTGGACATTCGAATTCGCTTAAAAGTAAAGAACCTTCTCCCTTCCTGTGAAGGAAGACAGGTTGTGCCTAAAAAAAAATGTCATAGAGCTTAGGAGGGGGCACCGAACGACTGTTTTCTGTAAAATATCTGTTCGGGGAAGCAAAAATTGCCTACAATTTTCTGCTACTTGAGGAAGGCTAAAAATCTCTAGATGGCCGTTCCATTCATGTACAGTTTTCGTAGCTTATCTAATTAATTCCCTACGATTTTCTAAAGTTTAGTTTTTCACATTTCAGCCCCCAACTTAGCCTATTTTTCGTTGAAAAAGGAAATCTAAAATTTTCGGATTAGAAAATGCGATGGAGAGAGGAATCAGAAAAATTCTCACTTTCCTAAAACCTAAAATTGTTTCTAAAATTTTGGGGAAAATAATACTGAGGCCCTAAGTGAAGTATATTTTTACTTAGTTGAGTGCCACGGAGAATATTTTCATCTATTGACCTAGACAAGGACGTTGAAACAACTGTTAATTGAACAAGGGAAATTGGCGAAGAGACTCAAAGGGCCACCAGCTCACTGTTAGCTAAAGATCATGTTATCAGTACTTAATCATTTTAGACGAGACAATAGTGGTTACCCAACCGTTAAGTCTTTTGCATGTAGATCAGTCAAATCTTTAACGGTTTTGCCCAGCGAATTAAACCTCTTTAGCGGTAGTCTAACTATGCTATTTGTTTTTCAGTTTTTCAAACTGAAATTGGGTTTTTGTCAGTCTTGAAATCATTTATTTTGATTGACCGCTTTTTGGAAGTGAAATGGTTTAACAGTGTAAAGGAAAAAGTAAACAGGAAAATTTCACGTTGTGTAAATTAACTACGCTCTAACTGTTTTTAATTAGCCGGTGAATGAGTGTAACAATAATTGAGCCGAAACCAATTGTTGAATTGCACACATTTTAGGCATCCTGCGGCTTTTTTATTTTTTAGACTTTTAGATATTTCGAGCAGCACCAATTTGCTGTCTGTTCTCTTTAATTAAACAGATTTCAATGGCTTACCTGTAGTGGATATCGATATAGCGAATTCGTTTTTAACGAGCATCTCGGTACATCGAATAGTTTTATGCAATCTCATGAAAATGAATGAAATGCCTTTCCGATTAGAAACTTGTCCTTGCTATAATACTTTTCCACATCCTCTGGTCAGTCTGGTCTCGATTCGTTCGTGTTTGAGATTTCGCTGCGGAGTACACTGGGCCCCGCTGTATCAGTAGATTACCTGTTGGTGGGGGAGCTTTACTGCTTTGATATAATCATTACATCACTATTACTGCTAACACTGGCAAATCTTTTCGTTAATTCCAGTTCGCCCCAGTTTCTATTAAGTTCAGCATTCGCTGAGGAACTGCGGTTCAGCTCAGTAAGAGTATAAGTAACATCGATTGCTCGAGCCGGGGTCTCACCGTCAAGAACTGAGAAATCAGAGAAATTCAGTGGTTCAAATGTTAAAAATATTTAGGATTAAGGTCCTAATGGAGTGAAGGTAGATTTTTTTAAAACCGCACTGCAAGTCAGATTCCAAAGGTGTTGGTTGTTTTAGTTTTTCGATACGGCTTTTTCATGTTATACTTATTTCTTATAAGCTCAAGGCTCATTTTCATGTAACATTTCAGTCTTGTTTAATATCAACTTTTATCAATTAGCCTAAAACAAACATTACGTAACCCTTCATCCCTCGTTTGTCTTCCGC